GTTTTTGCGATAGGGAATGTGTGCTTGTCAGAAATACAGACAGAAAGCAAGAAATCACCCCCTACAGGGGATGCCCATACCACAGTCCCTTCTTCTCTCGGGACTTTGGGCATGCTTGCACACGTATCCAGCATGAGTTTCAAGCTGCTGGGTCTGGAACTCGAACCATTGATTGGCATGTGGGAGTCCAGTGACATAACCATTATGCCATCTGCTGGTCCCAGCCTTCACTTCCATCTTATAAAAACCTCTTTGGAGTCTGCACCATGAAGTGATGCCCATTTTTTTTTTTTTTTTTTTTTAAATTATTTAATTGGGTACATCACTGGACTGCCACATAGTTGACCGCTCAAATCCTGGACCCAGCAGCTTCAAACTCACGCTGGGCACATGTGCATGCATGCCCAAAATCCCAAGAGGAGAATGGAGGGGAAGGAATTGTGTGGCTGTTCTCCCTGGGGAGTGATTTCTTGCTTACTTTCTGTCTCTCTTTCTCTGGTGAGCACATGTACACTGTAGCAAAAATCTCTCAAAAAAAATTATTCAATTTTATTTATTTGTTTTTAAAGAATTATTTATTTAATTTCATTTGTTGTCTTTTTTTTTTTTTTAATTTGACCAGACAGAGAAAGAGAGAGAAAGGAAAAGAGAGAAAGCAAGCCTCCAGGTCCAGAACTGGAACCATGGTTGTCATGTGGGAGTCCAGCACCATAACCACCACACCACCTCCTACCCCTATTATTATTATTTTTTAATTTGACCAGAGAAAGAAAGAGAGAAAGCAAGCCACCAGGACCAGCAGGTGGTTAAGGCATGGACACCCACAAGGCTGACTGCAATTTGAGTCTCCGATCTGGCGGCTAGAAACACACCGGACATGTGTGTGTGCATGCCCAGAATCCCCAGAGTACAGTAGAGGAGAAGGGATTGTGGCGTGACCATCCCCCGGGAGGGTGATTTCTTGCTTTCTGTTTCTGGTGAGCACACATGCCCTACAGCAAAAGTCTCTCAAAACAAAATGTAAAAAGCCACCAGATCTGGGACTTGAACTGCGGTCAACCATGTGGGAGTCCAGTGCCTTAACCACCACGTCACCTCCCAGCCCTAATTCCTACTTTTTTACATCAGACCCACTTAGCATAGGGCCTCTCTGAAGCCAGTCTTCTTTCCTTCCCCAGGATGTCCTTGGCTGTGTCTGTGTGAATCCCGGCCGCCTCACCAAAGGGCAGGTGGGAGGCACCTTTGGCCGACTCTACCTCAGAAGGTCGACGGCGGATGAGGACAGGAGGCCAAGTCCATGTGTGGCTGCCCAAGTGGTCAGAGTCTGAGGCTCTGCCCTTCATCAACCCAGTCTTGAGGGGAGGAGGAGTCAGCAGTGAGGGCGGGGCTGCAGGCCAGGCCCAGCAGGGAGGGCTTGCCCCTGGGCCCTGGCTAAGGGAAGAAGCTCTTGCTTCCGAATGGAGTACAGGAGTGAGCCAACTATGGATATGGCATGCTCCAAAAGGCAAGAAGCTTCGCGATTTTCTACAAATCAAACACACAAACAACTTTTGGAGAAATAAAAATAAATTGAGTGTAACTTGAGTTTAAGCTTCCTTTTTCCTGCCTATTTGACCTATTGTATGTCTGGAGAAAGCAAAGTGCTGGTCACACTGAGTTTCTGTCCAGCCCCTCGTCCTCCCAAGGCCCCCACGCCTCTAGCTGAGGAGGCGCCCTGGGCCTGGGCCATGGAGCCGGCTGCAGAGCAGGCAGCTGGCTGCATGCCTGGCCCTCCCTGTACGGCCCCTCACATGCATGCCGTGGTCCCAGCCTGACCTCTCCATCTGGAAGAGCAGCTTCACGAAGCTATTCCAAAGCCAGAGTCCCTGGTGACAGCCACTGTGCCAGGTTGTGCGGGAACACTGGGCATGCCTAGAGCCCAGGAAACATGGATAAGGTCAGGCCTTCCAGGGTCCCAGCATCTGGAGGAGTCTTGTTAAACATGGAGTGGGTTTCTGCTCAAACTGGCGGACTGTCCTGCTTCACGTGCCAGAACCAAGACTGGAAAACCCCAGCTGTCAGGAGGAGGGAAGTGTGTGAGGGGCAGTGGGCAGCTGATGCCTATGCCTTGACTCAGAGGTAAATAGGTAACTTAACAGTGCCTGACCTTAGCTTCCCTGCCCCCTCCGCCACGGGGTGGGGGTGGAGTCAAACCACTACCCAAGAAGGCTTGGATAAAACCTCCCTTCAAACATGTGGAGTTGCTCTTTTCATGAGTTTATAGGCACTTCTGAGGATGAGGATTAGAAACAAGCCTCGGCTTGAAGAGTAGATCTTCCTTGCATCCACCATAGTCCACAGCAGCAGCATGACTTGTTGGCCTCTGGGTATGGTGTTTTGGGAACCCACGACCCTCCCACTAATCCTGAGACAGTTACCTCAGGTCAAGAATGTCACTTGGGGAACCAGCAGTTGGCGTAATGGCTATGTCGCTGGACTCCCACGTAGGCGACCGCGGTTCGAGTCCCGGACCCGGTAGCTTAAAACTCACTCCGGGCGCGTGTGCGTGCGTGCCCAGGATCCCGAGAGGAGAATGGAGGAGAAGGGACTGCGGCGTGACCATCCCCCCTAGAGGGTGATTTCTCGCTTTCTGTCTCTGTCTCTCTCTCTCTGGCAAGCGCACGCGCCCTATAGTGAAAAACCTCTCCAAAAAAAAAAGAAGAAAGAATGTCACTTGTAGGGACCAACAGATGACTGGTTACATCACTGGACTCCCACATGGTCGACCGAGGTTCGAGTCCTGGAGTCCTGGACCCAGAGGCTTGAAACTCACACCAGGCACATGTGCATGCATGCCCAAAATCCCAAGAGGAGAAGGGATTGTGGCATGGCAACTCCCCCGGGGAGGTGATTTCTTGCTTTCTATCTCTCTGTCTCTCTGGCAAGTGCATATGCCCTGTAGCAATAACCTCTTAAAAAAAAAGAAAAAGGATGTCATTTATATTTCTAGCAGGCCAAATATCAATAGACACCCACCCTCTCCCTACATTGGAAAACCCGTGCTTGGGAAGATGAGTGACAGGCTTGCAGCCACCATGAACAAGGGCCTGAGCAGGCATCCTGCAGCCCTTATCGCCTGAGACCACACATGGCTCTTCTAGGAACGGTGACACTTAGCATGATTGTCACGTTGCTTCTGAAGAAGCCTTGTGGGGAATGGTAAGGGCCCAGTCCCAACTGGGCAAGCTACAGAGCCCCCTTTCCTCTCACAAACCTCAGGAAGATGCAGAGGACCAAGTGGGATTGGGCGTGGGGGACAGAGGGTGACCAGAGGAAGAGATGTGCTAAGGAGGGCCAGAAGGCAATGGAGAGAAAAAGCTGGAGCTCCCTGCTGCTCTGCATGAATGGAGGCGAGAGCCCCGTTGCCTGGATACAGGTCGTGTGACTGGGCTGGCGCAGGCATTGAAGATGGAAAAGCAGGATGCGAGCTCCAGAGAGCAGACAGGTCTGGCAGATGTGCTTCTTTGCCACCAGACGGTGACGGTGACGTTGTGCTCTTGTCGGGAGGAAGTTGATGCCAAGTGACTGCTGGCTGACTGTCCCCAGACCTTGTTTCAACTGTGTCACAGTTTCCTGTTGAGGCCATCATCCACAGGGATCTTGCTCCCACCTGGGTTGGGGTACATGGTCTTTGAACCAAGGCTCTAGGAGGGAAGCAGTAATAGAGAGTGGAGGAGGCTGGGCTTCACAGTCAGATGCTTTGGTGGCAGCTTCCCCTGGTCTGTTCGTGCCCTGTGCCCTCGTGAACCTGAGGATAAGGGAGACGGCTCTGAAGAAACAAAAGTCCTGTGCTCTCACCCAGGGTTTGCCTTCCTCCCCTGGTCCTGCCATCGTGACACCTCATCCTCACTCCCCGAAAGAGCCCTGCCCTCCCTTAACCTTGCACGGCTGCCCTTTAGGATCGTTGGGAAGAGCTGCCAAGGGGAACAAAAGACCCTCATAGCTCCCATGCGTGGGAACACAAGTGGGTGCCAAGAACGAAGCTGGGGCATTAGGGCAGCAAGGGGCAGGGTTGTGACACTGATCCTTGGGGCCCCTCCATCCTGCTCTGCCTTCTGCAGCAACCCTGCCCTTGGTGTTTCCTTTCCCTTGACCTATGGTCACCCCGCCCTGCTCAGCCCAGCCCTGCTCAGCCCAGCCCTGCTGCTTCCCCTGGTGCTGGGAGTGGCCACTGGGGCGGATCTCTCACGGCTTTGTTTGGTACACATTTCCTTTCCCCTGACCCTGGCCTCAGCTGAGACACCTGAGCCAGTCCTGCTTGTGTACTCATGGCCCCTCCTGCCAGACTGAACCCCCTAACTGCACCAAAGGACTTGAATGATTGGCTAAGAGTGGAGGGTTAGTTTTTTTTAACATTTAAAAACTTGTTATTGAGGGGCCGCCAGGTAGGGTGGTTGTTAAGGCTGCACTACTTCCACACGGCCAGCCGCAGTTCGAGTCCTGGACCTTGTTCTCTCTCTCTTTCTTTCTCTGGTCAAATTTAAATAAATAAATAAAGCCAAATAGAAAGAATTCTTAAAAAAAAAAGTTTGTTATTGAGACAGAGTAATAACCACATACCACTTTAAAGCGTATAATTTAGTGCATTTTATGACATTTACAATGTTGTAGAAATATCATCATCACTAATTCTAGAATATTTTCAACACTCAAAAAAGAAAACCCAGTACTCATTATAGTCACTTACTGTCTCTTTCTCATCTCATACCCTGACAATCACCAGTCTGCTTTCTTCTCTATAGATGTGCTTATTCTGGGCATTTTACATCAATGGAATTGTACAATACATCAAATCATCTGATACATTTCTGTCTGATATCTTTTACTTAGTATGTCTTCAAGGTTCATCCATCCAGTAGCATGTATTAGTACTTCATTTTTTTATTTTATTTTATTTATTATTATTGTTTTTAAACATGTTACAGGCACTCACCAGAGAGAGAGAAAAAAAATGAAAAAGCAAGCCACCAGGTCTGGGACTTGAACCACAGTTGGCCACGTGAGAATCCAGCACCTTAACCACTACACCACCTGCTGGTCCCAGCACTTAATTATTTTTTACAACTGAATGATTCATTGTATGGATATAGCATGTTTTTTAATTATTTACTTAATTTATTACTATTTGGGGGGGTTTGAGGGTGCATGGTGGTTAAGGGCACTGGATTCCCACATGGTTCGAGTCTTGGACCTGGCAGCTTGCTTTCTCATTTTCCCTTTTCTCTCTCTCTCTGTCTCTCTCTGGTTAAGTTTAAAAAATAATAACATGGAGTTAAATTAATAATGCTTATGCATTATCTATAAATAATTTTTAAAGAATTATTTTGTTTATTATTTACTTATTTATTTTTAATTTGATCAGAGAGAAACAGAGAGAAAGTAAGAAAGCAAGCCGCCAGATCCAAGACTGAACCTGTGGCCGGGGAGCAGCCGAGAGGGAACCAGCAGTTAGCGTAATAGCTATGTCGCTGGACTCCCCACGTAGTCGATCGCAGTTCGCATCCCGGACCCGGTGGCTTAAAACTCACGCCGGGCGTGTGTGCGTGCATGCCCAAGATCCCGAGAGGAGAATGGAGGAGAAGGGATTGCGGCGTGACCATTCCCCCTGGGGGGTGATTTCTCGCTTTCTGTCTCTCTGTCTCTCTCTGTCTGTCTGGCGAGTACACACGCCCTATAGCAAAAAAAACTCTCAAAAACAAACAAACAAACAAACAAAAAAACTGTGGTCAGCCATGTGGGAGTCCAGCGTCTCAACTACCAACACCACCTGCCGACCCCATTATTATTATTATTTTAAGTTTGCTATAGGGCACATATGCTCACCAGAGAGAGAGAAAGCGAGAAAGCAAGCCACCGGGTCCAGGACTCAGACCATGGCTTGTCATGTGGGAGTCCAGCATCTTAACCGCCATTCCACCTGCTGGCCTGATACAGCATTTTTAATATATACATTCACCCATCAGTGCATATTGGGGTTGTTTCCACTTGGCTATTGTGAATAGTGGACACTGTGTACAAGGTTTTGTGTGAACACGTGGTTTTAGTTATCTTGACTATATACCTAGGAATGAGGGGGAGGGTTTAGATTTATGGAAGAAGGGAAAGGAGAGTAGAAGGAAAGAAAAAGGGAAACAGGAATAAAAGGAAAGAGGGAAGGACATAAGAACAGAGGGGAGGGAGGAGGGAAACCCTGGGAGAGGGATTTGGAGCCAGATGGTAGATCTGGAATGTCTTGTAAGAGCTTGAAGTTGAGTCTGTATGCTCCAGGGACTCTTGAAGGCTTCCAGGTAGAACTGGGACAATACCCACCTGCAGTTTAGGAAGAGGACTGACAGTGCTGCAAAGGGCAAAGTGAAGCTAGAGAAGGCTAAAGACCACAGAGAAACTTTGTGCTATAAGGCACATGTGCTCCCCAGAGACAGAGAGAAAGTGAGAAATCACCCCCCAGGGGAGTAGCCACACTGCAATTCTTTCTCCATTCTCCTCTTGGGATTTCGGGCACATGTGCACTCGTGCCCGGCGTGAGTTTGAGTTTCAAGCCACCGAGTTTGGGACTCGAACCAGGATTCGGCGGCTTGGGGGTAAGGTGCCTTAATCACTATGCCATCTGCTGACTACAGAGACTCTTTAGGAGCTATCAGAAGGAGGGCTAGAGAGGGGTGGCAGCATGGAGATGCTGGGGTTCCTGCTGGAAGGCCAGAGGACACTCCTCGCCATCCATGGTGGGACTCAGTCAGCTGTATTCAGCCATTTAGGCCCTTCAGTCATTCTAGATTTCCTGTCCCTAAGCAGCTAGGTCTATCACTGCTCCCGTTGGTCTGCTGTAGAAATGCCCAGGGGCATTGGGGCTGCCTGCCCTCTACCCAACTGGGCTCAGGGCCAGCTCCAAATTCTCCCAGCCAGACCCACCCTCCTTGAGCTCCAGGCTCCTCTCCGCCCAGAGCCTGCCAGACAGCTGAGGGCCTTGCAGCTGCCTGGGGCTGAGGATCCCATCAGAGGTCTCAGAGACAGCTGCTGCCTCATGACCCTGCTGACCCTGGTCCCTGCACACTGCTCCCTGAGACCCCAGGCGGCTGCCAGCAGCCCGCAGGGCTTGCCTGCCACGCCCATGGCTCCCAGATCCTCCCCGGGTCTGAGACGTTACAGGGTGAGAAAGAAAACCAGAGATTCTGGGGCTGAGCCAACGGGCCCCACCTGGAGGGTGGGAAAGGGGCAAAGACGCCGGTCGGAGGCATCCCCATCCCCTGGCTGCCCCTCAGAGAAATTGGCTTTTCCACTGGGCAGGAGACAGAGCTTCATCCCGGCTACACACTGGGTGGGTTCATGCCCTGCCTCCGTCAGTCAGTGTGGGGCCAGGGACACACGGCTGACATTTCCCAGAGTAAGCCAGCGGGAAGGCGCAGTCACTTCTGACTCCCAGCAGGCTCCTCTCCAGGTCCGCTTCCCCCTTGAGGACTTGAGGCCCCTTCAAATTGCTGCCCCTTAGGATATTTCTGGTAGCAATAGTTGCCTCTAGGGATAGGTGTCAGAGGGCTGGGGAGCAGGCGTGGGAGGGCTCAGAGAATGGTTTGTCATGTCCACCCTCACATCCTGCCTAAAATCTCTTACCATGTTCATAGATAGTTTTAAAAGAAAGAGGAGGGCCAGCCAGTAGTGTGATGGTTCATGTGAGTGGATCCCACATGGCCAACTGCACAATTTGAGTCCCAGACCCAACTTGTAAAAACACGCCAGGCACACGTGCATGTGTGCATGCATGGCCCACATCCCAAGACGGTAATAGGGGAGCAGCAATTGTAGTGTAGTGTAACCATCCTCCTCCCAGGGGGTGCTTTCTCACCCCCCACCCCATCTCTGGTGAGCACATGCCTCTATGGCAAAAATTTAAAAATAAAAATAAAAAAGAGGAGAAGGGGTTAGGGTGGGTACAACCATTCCCCATGGAGGGTGCTTTCTCACTTTCTTTCACCCTCTCTCCCTAGTGTATGTGCCCTCTGGCAAATTGTTTTTTGTTTTGTTTTGTTTTGTTTTTAATAAAATAAAGCAACTATAAAAGAAAATGGGAAAATGTCAGTACTCCCCCTTACCAGCACGGAATCCATTATATGACCTGCCAGTGGGTGCCTGAAACCCTGGATAGGACTGAACCTTATATAGACTGTTTCGTCCTGTACATACCTACCTGTGAGAAAGTGTAACTTTTCATTCAGGTGCAGTAAGAAGTGATAATGGGACCGGCAGGTTACATGTGTGTGTGCGTGTGTGTGTGTGTGTGTGTGTGTGTATGTATATAGCTTTCCCGCTGCCCTTCTGCAGCTTAGCATCCTGGACCCTATACTGTTTGTAGTTAGGCCACAGGGAACACCTACAGAAGGAATGCCTTCTCATGACACATCCTCCTCGCCACCCTCCAGAAACAGGTGGCTTGGAGAGAAGGGAGGCAGGGGCACTTACTGTGCATGGACACCACACACCCTTGCCGTGGGCTAGCTCGGTGTGGGTTTGGGGAGCCAGAGCAGCCAGAACACACAGGAGCTTGTAGACAGAAACCCTGCTCCCAGGCTGAGCTGCCACACCAGTGCAGAACACTAAAGAGCAAACGCTAAAGAGATGCAGAGAACCAGGAACTGATGTGGCTGAGGAGAAAGGGGCCTGTGGGCCTTGCTGCAGGACCTGGTACCTGGCACACTCTCCGAGAACGACAGGCTGACACAGCTGAACACTCACATGTCCTCTGGCCCCAAGCTCCCTCCAGGAGTTTGTTCCCAGCTGTGCTCATGCATGTGTGAAACAGCATTTGTACAAGATGATCCATCATGGGAAAAGGTCAGGAACAGCTTAGACATCAGCAGCTGAGACTTGCTCCCGTACACTACGGCCCACCTGATGCTGGAATCCCGTGCAGCTGTGAAAATGTGAAACCGAGAACACGCTCTATGGACTCAGGTAGAGTGGGCTCCAAAATCTGACGTTAAAATCTGATGGAAAAAGCAAGGTGCAGAACATGAACAGCAGAGGCATACTAAGAGGTGGCTTCCCTGCAGAGTCACCCCCATTGCCCCCGATGATGGGGCCTGACCCTCCCCAGCTCCCACCAAGCCCTGCTGTGCTTTGGAGCTCCATTTGTCTGAATATTGCCATTTGTGTTAAAAAGTTTTTTAAAAATTAAGGATTGGGAGGGGCTCCTCTTGAATAAAGAATCTCTCTAAGTGTTTACTGATAATACTGGCCGTCTATGAGAGCAGAATAGTGCCTGGGAGACAGGGTGGAAAGACATTTTATTTTGCCCTTTGTAACTTCTGAATTTTGAACCACACTGAATCATTACCTCATCAAAAAAGTGATTTAAATGGAAAAAAAAAAAAAAGGCATTTCTAACCGCGTTGGACCTCGGTACACTGGCCCTTGATTCCCTCCCCACTGCATTCAGCAACTATCGTGAGCTCGCTGCCTGCAGTTATTCTGTAAGGGGACCCAGCCATCCCTCTGCCGAGCGCGTACACAAAGGAGTCGAAATCAGCATGCAGAGCCAGTCTGCCCTCCCATGTTCGTTGCAGCCCTGCTCAGAATAGCCAAGATATGGAAACAACATAAATGCCCATCAATGAAGGAATGAACTTTTCAAATGTGTTGTACGTACACGGGGACTATCATGTAGCCTTAAAAACAAAAACGACAAGCAAGTCTGTCATTCGGGACAACGTGGATGGACCTAGATGACTTATATGAGGTGAAGTAAGCCAGGCACAAGGACAAATACCACATGATATGTGTATGTAGAATCTAAAAATGTTGACCCTAGAGGCTGGCAGGTGGCGTGGTGATTAAGGCACTGGACTCCCTCATGGTCGACTGCGGTTCAAGTCTTGAAACTGGTGGCTTGCTCTCTCGCTTTCCCTCTTTCTATCTCTCTGTGTCTCTCTGGTCAAATTAAAAAATAATAATAACAACAAATAAAATAACTCTTAAAAAAAAAGAAAAGTTGAACTTGTAAAAGTAGAATGGTGGTTGGGACCAGCAGTTGGCATAATGGTTATGTTGCTGGACTCCCATGTAGTCAAACGCGGTTCGAGTTCCAGACCCGGTGGCTTAAACTCCCACAGGTGTGTATGCATGTATGCCCAAGACCTCGAGAGGAGAATGGAGAAGGGATTGCTGCGTGGCCATCCCCCCAGGGAGTGATTTCTTACTTTCTGTCTCTCTGTCTCTCTATCTGGTGAGCGCACACGCACTATAGCAAAGACCTCTCAAAAAAAAAAAAAAAAAAAAGAATGGTGGTTACCAGAGGCTGTATGTGTGGGATGGTAGATGAAGGAATGGGAGACAGTGGTCAATGAGTACGAATTTAGATAGGAGGAGTAAGTTTTGGTGTTTTTGGGGGGGATTTTTTTAAGAGATTTTTGCAATAGGAAGCATGCGCTTGCCAGAGAGACAGAGATAGAGAAACAGAAATCGAGAAATCACCCCCTAGGGGGGTTGGCCATGCCGCAATCCCTTCTCCATTCTCCCCTATGGATTTTGGCTGCACATGCGCCTGGCTTGTTTCAAGCTGCCGAGTCTGAGACTCACACCACACTCAACCATGTGGAATAACCATTAAGCCATCTCCTGGTCCCAAGTTTTGATGTTTTATTGCATAGCATGGTGACTACAGTTAATGACAATGTAATGTATATTTCAAATAGCTAAGAGAGAATTTTAAATGTTCTCACAACAAAGGAATAATAAATATTTGTGGAGATTTTAAAAATTATTTAACTTTATTATTATTATTATTTTCCAGTTTGATCAGACAGAGAGAGAGAGGGAAAGTGAGAAAACAAGACAGCCAGTCCAGGACTTGAACCATGGCCAGCCATGTGGGAGTCCAGCGCCTTTAACCACCACACCACCTGCCAGCCCCCAAGAAATGATAAATATTTGAGGTGATATGTGAATTAGCCTGATTCGCTCATTACACAATGTATGTATTGCAAAACATTATTTTAGTGGCTGACCACTCTACAAGTCTCAGATCCAACAACCTGAAAATCACGCCATGCACATTTGCATGCACACCCAAAATCCCAGGAGGAGAATGGTGGAGAAGGGATTGCAACGTAGTGCTCCCCTGGGGTGATTTCTTGCTTTCCCTCTGTCTCTCTCCAGCAACCGCACATGCCCTATGGCAAAAACTTTTTTAAAAATTACATTGTACCCCCCGAATATATTCAGTTATTATTTTCCAATTAAATATTAAATAAAACTTCGAAAATATACTATGTAATAGTTTTTCGTTCTTTTTTTTTTTTTTTGAGAGTTTTTTTCTTTTTGCTATAGGGCGCATGTGCTCGCCAGACAGACAGAGACAGAAAGCGAGAAATCACCCCCCAGGAGGGATGGCCATTACGCAATCCCTTCTCCTCCAGTCTCCTCTTGGGATGTTGGGCACGCAAGCACATGCGCTCGGCGTGAATTTTAAGCCACCGGGTCTGGGACGCAAACCGCGGTCGACTACGTGGGAGTCCAGCGACATAGCCATTACACTAACTGCTGGTCCCGATAGTCTTTAATTCTTAGTGACAAGTGACAGAAACCCAGCCCCAACTGGATTAAACAAAAGCTGGAACTTGTTGGTTCACATCATGGAAACTGCTTCAGGCATAGCTGAATACAGGAGCACAAGCAATGCCACTGAGACTCTTTCTCTCTCTCTCTCTCTCTTTTTTTTTTTTTTTTTTTTTGGAGAGGTTTTTGCTATAGGGTGCGTGTGCTCACCAGAAAAAGAGAGAGAGAGAGAGAGACAAGAGAGACAGAAAGTAAGAAATCACCCCCTGGGAGGATGGCCACGCCGCAATCCCTTCTCCATTCTCTCGGGATCTTGAGTACACATGCAAACGTGTCTGGTGTGAGTTTAAGCCACTGGGTCCGGGACTCCAACCGCAGTCGACTACATGGGAGTCCAGCAACATAGCCATTATGCCAACCGCTGGTCACGAGACTCATTCTCTTGACTATGCTTTTTTCTATATCGGCTTTATTGTCTGGCAGACTCTTCCCTCAGGGTAGCAGAGCTGGCCAACAACAGTCCTAGGCTGCCATCTTGGCATCTGTAACCCTAACAGTCCAGGCAAGTCCCCAGGCTAATGCTCATTGGTGTCACAGGCCCATCCTTATGACTCAGATTGGCCAAGCACAGGTCTTGAACCCACCTTTAGAGCTTAGTGGAGTCAGTCACGCTGGAAAATTGAGGAGCAATAAGAGGGATGGCTGTGGGCAGGGAGATAGTGCTTGTTCCCATGCTCTTGGCCTGCCTTCGTGCCACGGTCTACTGGACATCTCTGGTTTTCTGCTCTCGCCATGCATTTACATGCAGTCCTCCTGGCCGCTGCCTTAGCCGGGCCTCTGCCTGCTCCCCTGGAATCTTTTCCTTTCTCAGCCTGGCAAGCTCCTATTCATTCATTAATATCCTGCTCCTACAGAAAGAAAGGGCAAGTGAGACACACCTCCATGGGGGATGGTCCCTCCACGATCCCTTCTCTCCCTCTCCCTTTTTGGGACTTTGGGCACACACAGGGCTGCTGTGTTCTCAAATCTCCAGGTCGGAGACTCAAACCGTATAACCACGTGAGATCCAGCCCCCTTAACCACCATGCCGCAGGCTGGCGCACCTGGAAGCCTTTCTACCTCTCTCCTGTTTTCCCACCTTTGGGAGAACAAACCCTTCTCGTGGTTGTCCTCTGGTTCTTCATTCAGGTCCCAGTCACTGACCAAGCTTTCTCCATGCTGTCCTGGGAGAGGCCGAGATGACTCAGAGTTGGCTGCCCCCAGGACCGATAGGGCACTGGGTGTTGTTTAGAACTGGTTATTGTTTCACCCGGAGTTCTCTGTTCCTTGAGGGCAGGGCCCAGCCCAGTCTGCATCACCTCTAGTCCAGCACAGCCCTAGGCACTGGGTAGAGGGGTTTTAGGACAGTAATGGTGCCTTGAAGGCACCGGAAGAGTTAAAGAGTTAAAGAGAGTATTCCCTAGGCCAAATGACAGCCTTAGGGCTGGGATGCTCCCAGAGACCTCTGGGGGAAAGTGCCTGGGTTGGTCCCTGCTAAGACATGGTTGTCACCAGACTGGAAACTCCCATGATTCTGGGGCTGAGGAAAGTCCCCTCAGCAAGACCTGCCATTTAACTCCCAGGGAGGGGTCCAAGGAGGAGGGAGCAGCTGGGGTAACCCTGAGAGTGACCTCTCATCTCAAATCTCAGCCTCCAATAGGTCAGAGCTCTCTGAAGCGGGGTGAAAAGAGAGGACAGGCTGGAGTTGGCAGGAGTCCAGGGGAGGAAGGAAACAACAATCAAGGAAAAAAATCAAAAACCCAGGCCCGGGGTTGGCTCAGGCCACGGAGCCCTGGAGGCTGAGCTCAGGCTGGGATGGAGGAGGCTTCCCGTGGGCAGATGGAGCTTCCTTCCCGGCTCCCTGGTGCCTCATGGCCCAGCGAGGGGCCAAGCTTGAGAGACCTGTCTCTTCTCAGTGTCTCCCCTAGCCTTCTTCTTGTGCCCTCTGCTTCCAGACCCCAGGCTCCACCATCCCACTGCCTCCCAGTTCTCTCAGCGGTGGGGCCATGGAAAACTGCCTCCACTCTTGAGGGACCAGAGGGAATTTTCCTGATGAGCCTTCCATTCCAGCCAGTCTTGGAGGAGGGGCTTCTGAGCCTTGGGGGAGGCGCCTTCTGACTTCATTCCCCAGGGCCCATGGGGGCTGTGGCCGCTGACAAAGGTGATTTCCAGGAAGAAGTGGCTAGGGAGGGAAGGAAGGGCTGAGTCAGTCCCTGTGTGGTGATCACAGTGGGAGGAGGCAGCTGTGGGGTTGGAGTGAAGCAGTAGCCTATTAGGTTCATTTCAGAGCTGGGGAGAAGGTCCAGGCTGAGAAGGAGGCCAAATACCTCATTCTGGGTGTTTCACCATCATGGCCTACTCTGCCCTTCCCAAGGGATTTTTTTTTTTTTAAGAATTATTTAATTTTGGGAACCAGCGGTTAGCATAATGGCTATGTCGCTGGACTCCCACGTAGTCGACCGCAGTTCGTGTCCCAGACCCGGTGGCTTAGAACTCACGCCGGGTGCGTGTGCGTGCGTGCCCAAGATCCCGAGAGGAAAATGGAGGAGAAGGGATTGCGGCGTGACCATCCCCCCAGGGGTGATTTCTCGCTTTCTGTCTCTATGTCTCTGTCTGTCTGGCGAGCGCATGCGCCCTATAGCGAAAACCTCTCAAAAAAAAAAAAGAATTATTTAATTTTATTTGTTATTATTTTTAAGAATTATTTTATTTAACTTTATTTATTTATTTTTTAAATTTGACCAGAGGGACAGAGTGAGAGATTGAGCAAGAGAGAGAGATGGAGAAAGAGAAAGTGAGAAAGCAAGCTGCCAGGTCCAGGACTCAAACCATGGTCAGCCATGTGGAAATCCAACACCTTTAACCACCATGCCACCTGCTGACCCCATTATTATTATTTTTTTATTTGACCAGAAAGAGACAGAGAAAGAGAAAGGGAAAGTGAGAAAGCAAGCCCAAGTCTGGGACTCAAACAGCAGTCTGTCATGTGGGAGTTCAGAGCGCTTCACCACCACTCCACCCCCTCCCCCCCAAGTGGTCTTCTGAGTCCTGCCTCCTCAGCCATGATTTGTGTGTGTGTGTGTGTGTGTGTGTGTGTGTAAGGAGATGGGGGATTGCAGGGGGTGGGGCGTGTCCAGGAGCCCCCACCCAGTAGAAACAGTCTAGACCCTACTCAGGAATCAGACCCTGGACACAGGGTCCAGGCTGGGAGCGTGGGGGTGGAGGTGGGAATTGGCGTGAGTGTCTCTTAGGTCATAAATGAAGGCCACTCTGGCTGCCCTGCAGTTCACACTATCCCCACTTCCCCACCACACCCAAGCCCTTTCACACAGCCTGAGAAGTTGCAAAAAAAAAAAGCCAATTTTAGGGTCTAGCAAGTGGCATGGTGGTTAAGGGGCTGGACTCCCACATGGCTGACTACGATTTGAGTCCAGGACCTGGCAGCTTGCTTTCTCAGTCCCATTCTCCCTCCATCCCTCTCTGGTCAAATTAAAATAAATAAAGTTAAATAAAATAATTTTTTAAAAAGCCAATTTTAGTAAATGAATTTGCTTCATAAATGCGTATTATATTAATTGCAGGGCTCCCACAGCGACTCTGGGTGTGTACACACTGTTCTTGTACATTCAACAGAACCTTCCAGGGATTCTGTGGGCCCTAGCCAAGGGACAGTCTCATCTATGAGTGAAGAGAAGGAAGTGGCTCCCCAGGTGCTCGCAGAACCCACCCAGGACCAGGCACAAATCACTCCTAAGATGTGGGACAAGGCAAAAGAGGCAGAGCAACAAGGGGAGCTCCGCTGGGCAGACTCTGGTCACCTGGGGGGCAGAGGGCCTCTGCTGCTCTCAACTCATTCACCCAGAACCTCTTTTTTTTTTTTTCCCCTGGAGAGGTTTTCGCTATAGGGCTCGTGGACTCGCCAGACAGACAGAGAGAGAGACATAGAGACAAGACAGAAAGCGAAAAATCACCCCCCAGGGGGATGGTCACGCCACAATCCCTTCTCCTCCATTCTCCTCTCAGGATCCTGAGCACGCACGCACACGCGCCCAGCATGAGTTTTAAGCCACCGGGTCTGAGACGCGAACAGTGGTCGACTACGTAGGAGCCCAGCGACATAGCCATTACGCTAACTGCTGGTTCCCCACCCAGAACCTCTTTGAGGAGCTTTGGAGTTGGTTCCTGCTTGTGTCTTGGGTGAAGGTCTTTGCATCTGGTGAAATGCTGGCCCTTCAATCAATGTTTCTGGTACTGTATGAATGAATGAATGAATGAATGAATGAATGAATGAATAAACCAGTCGAAATTTGAGACTCACCCTCACTCTGGGAGCCACTCAGCCTGACAAGTACAAGTGTGCCGAAGTTACACACCTGTTTTCTCCCTCTTTCTCTCTCTGTATATACTCACACTCGATACTCTTTTTTCTTTTTTCTTTTCAATGTTTCATTTAATTTTATTCATCATTACCATTTTTTAAATTTGACCAGAGAGAGAGAAGCAAACCGCCAGGTCCAGGACTTGAAACAGTCAGCCATGTGGGAGCCCAGGGCCCCAACCACCACGCTACCTGCTGGCCCCAATACTCTTTCTTCTAACTGACTGTAAATTCTTCAAAGCGCCAGTAAGTTTGTAATACTTGAACGTAGGCGCGACCAAGACTTCATTCATTCCCTTGGTAGTCACTGAATATACTGCCCTCGAGGAGACCCAGCGCTTGCTGGTAGGGACCCGGTGCAAGGACGCTCTATCAATTCTTCCAGCCGCCGCTCCCCTGGCTCTTCCAGAACCGAGGATTTTGACTCAGCCGGAGCCCACGGAGCCCACCCCAGGCATCCGACTCAGCCTGGCTCGCAGCGGCTTGAGCCAGAACCCGACCCTAACGAGCACGCCGCAGTCGTACGCGGACTCCTTTCCGAAGGGAGAGCTTTGGGCGGTGCCCGGCACGGGCGGGGCTGTGGACGCAGCTTGGTTGCTGCGGCCCTGGCATTGGCTCTGCGGGCCGGGGGCGGCGCTTCAGGCTCCACAGTCAGTACAGCAAGTTCTCAGCCCGGCTCGGGTGCCACTGCCTTGTGGTCCAGCTCCGGAGCTTTTGCTTCCCGCGAGTCTTGTCTGCGCTCCTCACGGTGAGTTTGGGCCGGGATTCTGCAGCCCTTCTGCGGTTTCGCGGGCCCATTCGGAGAGACCCACCCCAGTGGCGCCCCACCCCTGTTCGCGCCCCAGCCCCTATCTCACCTCCGCTCAGGTCTTTTTGGAGGCGCTTGGGGCTCGATGGGGTTTCCCGCCGCATCTTGGTCACTGCAGCCCCACCCGTCTCCCTACGACCCGCTCTGCGCCGCGCATCCAAATCCGGATCTTCCCATTCCGCCCTCCATTCTATGTCCGAGCCCCCGCCCCACTCCCCGGGACCCGGTAGCGCCCTACCGCCGCCCAGAGTCCCCACCAGGACTAGGGGCCGTATTTTTAGCCGATGATGAGATGTTCTCCTATCTTTAGATGCGGCCACGGGTGCCCTGAAACGGATCCAAGCACGGCTGGGCTGCGCCTGGGCAGGGGGGGGGGGGGGGGCGGGGCCGGATCCTCGGGGGGGGTGGGGAGGGGTCGGCGCCGGATCCTGAGCCAGAGCTAAGGAGTCCGACCCGCGGGAAGGGAGGAGCCCACAAGACAGAGCTCTGGATTTATGCCGAGCGGACACTCGGACATCGCCAAGGCCGGAAAGTCGGTGGGAGGCTCCTCCCAGAGCTTGAAGACCCGAACGGGGTCTCCTATCGCCCAGTGTCCCTTTGATTGATTGGGAAACCAGAAACCCACAAGAGATAAAGATCCCGCAGACAACCTGCATCTTGTACTCGAACACACAGCTTCTTGGGGGTCGCCTGCCTTGATCCGAAGCACGCAGGAGACCCCATGTGTTCTTGGTCTCCTCGGGGACACTGGGCAATAGCGGGAGCGCGCGCGCCACCTAGTGTCTGCGGAGCCGGGCGCTGCTGCGCGCCCGCGCCCTGGGATACACCACTACTGGCAAGGAGGGCTCGGCGCTGGCTGTGTCAGGGTGGGCGGGAGAAGGCAGACGCCTGGGACGAGGGTTCGTGGAATTTTGGTCGTGGAAGCACTGCCCCTGAAAAACCAAAGTGCGTGAGGAAGCTCTGCAGAGGTTTGCTGAATGCACAATAGAGCCCACAGTGACACACTGAGCTAGTCATTATACATTGGCACTGCCACCTGCACTGTAGCAGCCGACTCTACGGCAGCCCTCAGAGTGGCTTTGTCAGCCCATGTATGGGAAGATGAGGCCTAGAGAGGAGAGGTGTCTTTTCCTAGCTAGGTGCCTGTTTCTCCTGCTGCCCAAGCAGATTGTGGAAGTTAGCCTGGCCTGCTGCACTGGAGTCAGGAGGACCTGCTGGACAACCTTGGCAAAGTTACTTACCATCTTTGAGGTTCAGCTTCATCCTCTGTCAAGAGCAAGCAGTAATGACACTGCTGTGACTGGGAGCATTGAAATGGGAAATGTGCTTGGCAGGCTGGAGCCTGGGGTCCTGTCATTGCCAAACAGGAATACTCCCTGGCTGTAGTTCCCAGCTCTCCCCTGAGTGGTCAATGCCGGTCCCACCCTTTCCCTAGTGTCCGTTCTTCCCACATCTGGAATTGGGTGGGTACATCTGGCGCTGCTGAGACAGCTGTCAGGGACGCCCGATTTGTGTTGTGGAAACACTCCGGCTGTCTTGGCGCTCCTGTGTGATGGGGTGGGGGCTGGAGGAGGACCGGGCCAAGGCCCTGGAAAATCCCACCAGTCAACCCCACTTCCCAAGACTGAAAAGGGAGAAAAAGCCACCCCAGGCTGTCTCACCTGTCAAGGGGACAGACTGGATGTTTGTCAGCATGCCCCCCTCCCTGACCTGGCATGGTGGATCCTGGATGAATGAGTGATGGGATTGAAAGACCTTGGGTGCCTCCCCCAGCTCCTTCCAGGCTTAGCTGGAATTCCACCGCTGGAGAGTCATTCCTTTGTTTCCTGTCAAGCTGCAGGTGCTGTGGGAGGAGCAAGATGTCTGTAGCTCAGCATTACTGACCCAGGGTGTCCGGTCCTGGGGTGGGGTTTCCTGAGTGAGGGCCTGGGCTGTTGGGGGGGTAGGAGTGCAATGGGGCTGGAATTTTGCCTCTCCTGCATCTTCCTTTCTCCTTCCTAATCCCCCCTGCCAGCTCCCTCCTTCTCCCCCTCACTGTCCTGGAGGAAGAAGGGGGCAGAAGGACTGGCAGAAGCCTCCTTTGCTAGCCTCTGGGTGACCCTGAGGGGCCCAGTGGGAGAGGGTGGGCTCATCTGGCTTCAATCCTGGCCCTGCCTTTACTGGCTAGGTGACCTTGGACACATTTCTTTCTTTGTCTTTCATGCTGATTCTACATCTGGGCCCATGATCAGCCAATCAGGCCTCTATGCCTCCCCGCCCCAGGAACCAGTGGGAATCCTTGCTCCCTTTCCTTTTTCTGTTAACAGTATGACACCCCCTTATAGTGTATTTGTTTTTTCCACATTAAAATTAGCTTTTTTCGGGACCAGCAGATGGCTGAAATGGTTACATTGCTGGACTCCCACATGGCCGACCACAGTTCAAATCCTGGACCCGGCAGCTTAAAACTCACCATGAGTGTGGGTACTTGCGTGTCCAAGATCCCAAGAGGAGAATGGAGAGAAGGGATTGTGGCATGGCCATCTCCCCTGCGGGGGTGAGGGGTGATTTCTCGCTTTCTGTCTCTCTCTCTTTGGCAAGCGCACACGCCCTATAGCAAAAAAACTCTTTGAAAAGAAAATAGCTTTTTTCCTGACTGTATAAATAATATGTGCATATAAATAATACACAGTTATTATTAAGAATTTGAGTTTATAAAAGTCTGAACAAGGGCCAGCAGGTGACATGGTGGTTAAGGCACTGGATCCCACTTGGCTGACTGCTCTTTTCGAGTCCCAGACCCAGCGGCTTGAAAAGCATGCTGGGTGCATGTGCATGCATGCCCAGAATTCCAAGAAGAAAATGGAAGAGAAGGAATTGCAGGACAGAATTGTGGGGTGATTTTGCACTTTTCCTTTCTCTCTGTCTCTCTCCAATAAACGCATGTGCCCTATGGAAAAAATCTAAAAAAAAAAAAAAAATACAAAAAGGAAAAGTTGACCTGAAATCCTACCACTCTGAGATAACCATCAACATTTGGGCAACTGCCCTTTCGTAGTTACATAGATCATATGCATATATGTATTTTATGTCGTAGTAATGGTGCCAAATATTACAGATCTTTTTAACTCTTTTTAATTGCCAGAGGGCGCATGTGCCTACCACAGAGAGAGAGAGAGAGGGAGAGAGAGGGAGAAAGCATCCCCCAGTGGAGCACTGTCATGCCGTAATGCCTTCTTCATCCTGTCAGGATTTGGGACATGCACATGCTTTTAGCGTGTTTTTAAAACTGCCAGGGCCAGGACCAGCAGGTAGCATGGTGGTTAAGGCACTGAACACTCCCACATGGCCGACCATGGTTCGAGTTCTGGACCTGGTGGCTTGCTTTCTCACTTTCTCTCTCTCTCTGTCTCTCTTTCTGGTCAAATTAAAAATAAATGAATGAGGGACCAGCAGTTAGTGTAATAGCTATGTCACTGGACTCCCATGTAGTCGACTGCGGTTCGGGTCCTGGATCCGGTGGCTTAAACTCAAGCCGGGCGCACGTGCGTGCGCGCCCAAGATCCCAAGAGGAAAATGGAGGAGAAGGGATTGCGGCATGACCATCCCCTCTGGGGGGTGATTTCTCGCTTTCTGTTTCTATGTCTCTCTCTGTCTGTCTGGCGAGCTCACGTGCCCACTCCTCAAAAAAAAAAAAAATTTTCAAAAAAAAAACAAGAACTGCCAGAGCCAGGATTCAAATCACAGTCAGCCATATGGGATCCAGCTCGCTTAACCACTAGGCTACAGAGCTAGCCCCACATCATTTCTGTTGAGGACATCTTTCCTCTCATATCAGTGACTCCACATTCTCATTCTTGCTCCCCACCTCAAGTCAAGGTAGCCCGTATGATAACCTAGTGCTGACTTTCCAGAATCTTCTTCATTCTTATATAGCACAGACTCCTATACAGACCTACGTGTATATGTATGTAGGTGTATAATGCATGTTCAAGGGGCAGGGGAGGTAGTCAGTGCTTTCGATTAAGGCATCAGTTATACTACGTTTCTGTGTTTTGCTTCTCTCGCTTTGCAATGCCTTATGGAAATTATGTCTGATACCTCTCCGCCGGCGGGCTGTGTGGGAATCCAGCATGTTAATCACTGCACTAATTGCTGCACCCCCTTTTTCTTTAAGAGAGACTTTTCTTTTCCTTTTTTATAATAATTATTTATTTAACTGTATTTATTCATTCATTTATTTTAATTTGACCAGAGAGAAACACAGAGGGTGGGGAGAGTGAGAAAGCAAGCCACCGGGTCTAGGATGGTTGCCCATGTGGGAATGTTGAGCACCTTAACCACCACGCCACCTGTTGGCCCTGAGAGATTTTTCTTATAGGGTGCATGCACTTCCCAGAGCGACAGAAAGCGAAAAAGCACCCCCCGGGGGGATGGCCACGCTGCAATCCCTTCTCCTCCATTCTGTTCTCCAGATCTTGGGCATGCACACACACGTGTTGGTGTGAGTTTAAGTCTCTAGGTCTGGGACTGGAACTGTGGTCGACTACATAGGAGTCCAGCGATGTAACCATTATACCATCTGCTGGTCCTGAGACCTCTAATTATTTTTTTCTTTTTCTTTTTTTTTTCTTGTTCTTAGAGACTGCTAATTTTTAAATGGGAGTGATAGTAGGGTGGTTGTAATGATTAATATACATTTTTTTTTTTTTTGCTATAGGGCGCGTGCACCAGAAAGACAGAGAGAGACAGAGAGATAGAAAGTGAGAAGTCATCCCCCAGGAGGGATGTCCACGCCGCAATCCCTTCTCCATTCTCCTCTCAGGATCTTGGGCACGCACACACATGCGCTCGGCGTGAGTTTAAGCCACTGGGTCCGGGACTCGAACCACGGTTGGCTATATGAGAGTTCAGCAACATAGCCATTACGCTAACTGCTGGCCCCATAAAATGTGTTTTCAAAGAGCTCAGAAGAGGGAACCAGCAGTTAGCGTAATGGCTATGTTGCTGAACTCTCATATAGCCAACCGTGGTTCGAGTCCCGGACCCAGTGGCTTAAACTCACGCCGAGCGCATGTGTGTGCGTGCCCAAGATCCCGAGAGGAGAATGGAGGAGAAGGGATTGCGGTGTGACCATCTCCCCTGGGGGGTGATTTCTTGCTTTCTGTCTCTTTGTCTCTCTCTGTCTGTCTGGCGAGCGCACGCGCCCTATAGCAAAAACCTCTAAAAAAAAAAAAAAAAGAGCTCAGAAGAGGGCTGGCTTTGTACAGCAGTTTAGTACTGTACATAGGGAACTGGATTCCACATGGCCAACAGCAGTTCAAATCCTGGCCCTAGTGGTTTGAAAAACACACTGGGCATATGTGCGTTTGAACCCAGAATCCTGACGGGTTGGAGAAATACAGGAAATAGGCCAGCTGGTGGTATGGTGGTTAAGGTGGCTGGATCCCACATGGCTGACTGCATGTTTCTATTCCTGGACCTAGATGGCTTGAAAACCACTCTGGGCACATGTACCTGTACCAACCTGCCTAAAATCCCAAAAGGAGGGGAAAATGGAGGAGAAGGGATTGAGGTCTAACCATGCACCATGGGGCTGCTTTCTCACTTTTCTTCTCTGTGTCCATATTTCTCTGGCAAAAGAAAAAAAATTCTGAGGGACCAGCAGTTGGCACAATGGCTGTGTCGCTGAACTCACATGTAGTCCACTGCGGTTCGAGTCCCAGACCCAGTGGCTTAAACTCATGGGAGCGAGCAGATGGTGTGGTGGTTAAGGGGCTGGACATTCCCATATGGCCAGTCACAGTTTGAGTCCTAGACCTGGTGACTTGCTTTCTACTTTCTCTCTCTCTGTATGTCTCTCTCTGGTCAAATTAAAAAATTTAAAAAAATGAATAAACAAAATTAAATATTCTTAAAAAAATTCTGAAAGAAATAAAGGAAAAGGATGACGGTATGACCATGCTCCATTAGGGAGTGCTCGCTCGCTCTCTCTCTCTCTCTCTCTCTCTCTCTCTCCCCAATAAACTGGTGAGCACATGTGCTCCCTGGCAATAAAAATAAAAAAGAACTCGAGGGAATTCCAGATACAGAGGAGAGCTCCCCCAAATGTTGGCACTCCCTACTCCACCTTCTCTTTAGGTATCGGGGCAGGGAGGAGAGCCAGAAACTACAGAAGAGGACCTCAGAAAAGTTTGTGGGAAAATGGAATCGTGACTTATTTTGATGCAAAAACATTTTAAAATTCATGTCTAGTTTTATTACAGTTCATTTTCCATAAACTTTTTGAAGACACCCCCCCCCATAAGACTCCTCTCCTGGCATAGTGTAAGGCACTGGACTCCCACGTGATGGCAACCTGAAACTCACACCAGGTGTGTGTGTGTGTGTGCCCAAAATCCTGAGAGGAAAAGAGAAGAGATTGCAGAGTGGCCATCCGCCCTTGGGGATGATTTCTTGCTTTCTGTCTCTGTCTCTCCGGTGAGCACATGTGCCCTATAACAAAAACCTCTTTAAAAAAAGACTCCTCTTCTTAGGCCAGCACACCTGCTGGTGGTGTGGTGATTAAGGCACTGGATTCCCACATGGCTGACTGTGGTGTAAGCCCTGGTCCTGGTGGTTGTAAATAATCCCCATGCCTGTGTGGACATGCCTTAAAGCCTGAGAGAAGACTGGAGAAGGGATTGCGTGCGGCATAGCCACCTCCTGGGTAGTGATCTCTCACGTTGCCTCTGTCTCTCTTCACCGAGTACACATACGCTATGGAAAAAAGCAAAACACATTCCTTTCCTATCCCTAAGGAACTCCTAACCTGGAGGAGGAGAAAAAGGAAACTTGGAGATAGTGACCTCACCTCCGGGTGGGACGCGATTGGGCCAAATAAGAGGTGTCAGCCATGAGGCACTGTTGAAAACCTAGGCCGGGCCTGGGTGGGAGAGACGGAGGTTACGAGCTCTCTGTCTTCAGTCAGATGGGGACTTGAGACCAGCTGTGAGAGCCCACACCACTGCGCAGGTACGTTGTGGGGCACAGTTGATGTGCAGTAGAGGTAAGAGTAGGAAGTGTGTCCCGAGGCGATGGTGATAAACAGAGCCAGGGACCCAGAGGAAGAGACCAGAGCAGGACTTTGGGTGTGGCTTTGGGCCGGTCATTCAGGGTCCCAGGCCTTAGTTTCCCCCATGTAAAAGGAAGGCCTTGGTGCTGGTTGCCTAAGTTGGTCTATAGTGAAGACATGCTTCTCCCAGCAGGGCTCCCCTCAGGAGAGTGGTCTCACTTGGGCTCCCAGGGCTAATTGGAGGGTGTCTAGGAATGAGACTAATGCTTCTGACTTTTGTCCTCCTGTCCCCATCTTTGTGTTTCAGGTCCTCAGCGCTGGGCCAGGGAGAAGTTCTTGTGGACAAGACCAAAGACCATTGGCGGCTGCACGATCTCTACCTTTCTGCCTCCGGTTTTCGAGAGTTCGGAACCCGTTGCAGAGAGAGTGATTTATGTTATCGCAACCCTCTGACTTCATTGATCTTTAGTTTTTCTTTTCTGCTTCCTTAGACCGACTGCGGTCACATCCCACATTCTAGTCTGGTCCTTCAGCCTGTTTCAGGGGTTGACGGCCACCCTCCAGAGTGAGTGTTTCTGGTTGAGGGTGTTGAGAGGAGGAGACGTGACACCGTGGTCTCGGCAGGCACCCGTGTCCAGCCTCGGCAGCCAGGCCTGGTGGTAAGGTCTCGATGTCCACCAAAGTGCCCATCTATCTAAAACGCAGCAGCCGCAAGGGCAAGAAGGAGAAGCTGCGGGACCTGCTGTCCTCGGACATGATCAGCCCACCGCTGGGGGACTTCCGCCATACCATTCACATTGGTAGCGGTGGTGGCAGCGACATGTTCGGTGACATCTCCTTCCTGCAGGGCAAGTTCCACCTCCTGCCGGGGACAGCAATCGAGGGGCCTGAGGAGGATGGCACCTTCGACCTCCCCTTCCAGTTCACCCGCACAGCCACAGTGTGTGGGCGGGAGCTCCCGGATGGGCTGTCCCCTCTGCTCAAGAATGCCATCTCTCTGCCTGTCATTGGAGGGCCCCAGGCCCTCACCCTGCCCACAACCCAGGCCCCACCCAAGCCCCCTCGCCTGCACCTGGAGACCCCTCAGCCTTCTCCGCAGGAGGAGGGGAGTGTAGACATCTGGAGGACTCCAGAGGTGGTTTCGCCCCGCAATGGGCTGACCCCGGATTCAGGGGGTGAAGAGGAGCCCTTCCTGTCCCACGCCAGTTCCCTGTTGTCCCTGCATGTGGACCTGGGCCCCTCCATCCTGGACGACGTGCTCCAGATCATGGACCAGGACCTGGACCGTGTACCGATCCCTACATAAGGCCTGCCACTGACCAGTTTGGGAGATGCCAGGCGGCAGGGTGTGGACGTGACCCTGGCCTAGGAGCTGGGATCCTGGGATCCCACCTGTGTGCTCGCCGGCCAGCGATGCTCATCTTGAACCTTTGTTTCCCTCCCTCTCACCCTCCCCCAACGGACAGAGTGCGCCTCATGGCTTTCCCTAACACCCCACCGAGGACTCCTGCAGAAGTCAGTCCAGAGCGCCCTGAGTGTCTCGGCCACTTGGACCCCCACCACCAACCGCCCCTCCTTCCCTCTCCTCAGACGAAGGTTCTGCTGAAGTGGGCTCTGTTCACGTCCTTCCACCTCGGCACTACCGGAGGCCCAGGTTCTGGGCAGGTAAAGAGGCAGGCATGACTGACCAGGGGACTTGGGCCCTGGGCTGGCTATCCTGGACCTTTAGGTTTGTGTTGGACTGGGAGTGTGGTGTCAGTGGCCAGAGGTGTCCTGCCTCATCTCCTGCCTTGTCCCTTCCTCACATGACCAGGGGATTCTGGTTGCAATAAAACCTGCTGCTACCGGTGGCTCAGCTCCCTGCGCCCTTGCCCAGGTTTTCTCCCGAAGGCAGGCAGTCTCCGTGAGCTGCAGGGCTTACCTGGGAGAGACCACCCCGGAGGGCCTTATGGAAGGCAGGCCTTTCCCTCAGGAAGGTTGTACCTGATTCAGTCATGGCTATCCTGACACTGATTCCAGCATTTGTCAGGTCACCAAACTCAGGTAGACTGAGGATTGTGCCGGGTGTGGGTTCAATCCCTGTCCAGGCAGTAGGCATCTGTAAGGGGAGACCCGAGAGTCAAAGAATAACCACAGGCCTAGTTCTTTGAGTCAAGCTTCTCCAGTTTTGGAGCACTCAGAGCACACACGAGGGAGAACGGGCAGGGCCTGGCAGGGACCCAACAGGCCAGTCAGACTCATCCCACCAGAGGCTGTTACTGAGATCTAAGGTGTGGAAGCAGATAACTTGAAAACGTGATTTTTAGACTCAAAGTCTCGTGGATACAAGGCAGATACAGTTCCTGCTTTCTCAGAGCTTAGTTCTTGTGGAGAGAAGAGTATTAAATTTGTAAACAAGTAAGAGATGATGCTAGCGGGACCAGCAGTTGGCATAATGGCCATATCACTGAACTCCCATGTAGTCGACTGCAGTTTGAGTCCCAGACCCGGTGGCTTAAACTCATGCTGGGCACATGTGCGTGCCCAAGATCCCGAGAGGAGAATGGAGGACAAGGGATTGTCACATGGCCATCCCCCCTGGGAGGGTGATTTCTCGCTTTCTGTCTCTCTGGTGAGCGCACGCAAAAAACTCTCAAAAATTAAAAAAAAAAAAAAAAGATATCTGGGTCTTAAAGGTTTAAAAATACTAACAATAAAGAAAAGAACATTACCCAAGCCAAACTAAATCGAATCAGTCAAGAGATCCCAAAAAGCAACACTGGAGGCTCTGTACTCAGAAACACAGACTCAAATACCAACAAAGACATTTCTAAAAACTCTGATGTGTTCAAGGCTCTGATACCAGTTGGTCTAAACTAGGCCCCTTTCTTACTAATGGCTTCCATGATAACCCCAGTACCTTGAAACATTACTTCTTTGTATAAACTGGGTTTTTGCCACACACGACCAAAGTAGTCTTACCTAGTACACATACTTTCCAAGGGCTTTTGCAGTGATTAAGTGAGATAATGGGAAAAAGAGCTTTCAAAAGTATACAGCATTCTATACAGTCTATGATACAACCTACTATTAAACCAAACTACACAGGCCTGAGAAGACCTTCATACTCATGTATTTGAGTCCTTACAAACAAATCTAATTATGTGTCCATTTCCTTAAAAAAATAGCTGAGTCACTGCAGCCCTGCTATAGTCAGTCACATATGGACCACTGTTTAAAATGTGATTAACTAGACAAACACCACACTAATCAACCTAGCTGTTTCCCTCATTTGTTTTCTCTAAGCCACTTTCCTTTTCCAACACATAAATGTTGTTCTGAGTTCCTCAGAACTAGCTCTGGGGGTTGATTCTTGAATCTTTCTTTGCTCGATTAAACTTTCCTAAATCAGATCTATCAAAAATTTTTCTTTTGACACTACGTTCCTTCCGAAAGCCCATGAACAAGAAATCCTTAAGAAACCCAACAGGAAGTTGAGAGTATTCAATTCTCAAGAGGCAAAGATCAAGTAACCTGTAAGACTCATTACTTACTTATATATCAATATATTTGGTCTAATAAAGAATGTCTGCTTTGGGGGCCAGCAGTGGTATAGTGACTAAGTCACTGAACTTCCACATGGCAGTTCAAACCTGGCAACTTGGGACCAGCAGTTAGCGTCATGGCTATGTCGCTGGACTCCCACATGGTCAACCACGGTTCGCGTCCCGGACCCGGTGGCTTAAAACTCATGCCAGGCGCGTGTACATGCGTGCCCAAGATCCCGAGAGGAGAATGGAGGAGAAGGGATTGCGGAGTGGCCATCCTCCCGATACAGTTCCTGCTTTCTCAGAGCTTAGTTCTTGTGGAGAGAAGAGTATTAAATTTGTAAACAAGTAAGAGATGATGCTAGCGGGACCAGCAGTTGGCATAATGGCCATATCACTGAACTCCCATGTAGTCGACTGCAGTTTGAGTCCCAGACCCGGTGGCTTAAACTCATGCTGGGCACATGTGCGTGCCCAAGATCCCGAGAGGAGAATGGAGGACAAGGGATTGTCACATGGCCATCCCCCCTGGGAGGGTGATTTCTCGCTTTCTGTCTCTCTGGTGAGCGCACGCAAAAAACTCTCAAAAATTCAAAAAAAAAAAAAAAAAGAGAGAGAGAGAGAGAGATGCTAAAAACTGCAAAGAAAACTGATCAGGAAGGCCTGGAGGCAGGGCTGCAGGTGGTGTGGGTATATATTAGGGGGATCAAATGTGATTTTTTTTTTTTTAAGAGGTTTTGCTATAGGGCATGTGTGCATTCTCCAGAAAGACAGAAAATGAGAAATCACCCCCCCCCCAGGAGGAATGGTCACACCACAATCTCTTCTTCATTCTTCTCTTGGGATCTTGGGCATGCGTGCACACGCACCTGGGGTGAGTTTAAGCCACCGGGTCCAGGACTTGAACCGCGAGTCTGCTGGTCCCTGATTCTTTTTTTCTTTAGGTTTTTGCCATAGGGCATGTGCACTTTTTGGAGAGATACAGAGAGAGACAGTGAGAGGGAAAGGGACATATCATCCCTCAGGAAGGATGCCCATGCCACAATCCCTTCTCCATTCTTCTGGGATTCTGGACACTCAGCGCACACATGCTTGGAGTGGTCCTCAAGCTGCCAGGTCTGGAACCACAGTAGGACATGTGGGAGTCCAGTTCCGCCACGCCACCTACTGCCCCTTGTGTGATTGTTTTAGTCAAATGTAAGCCAACAGCTTATGCTCATGCATGAACAAAGGCACTGAAGCACAAGAGTGAGCAACAGGAGACCCACCCGGTAAGGGACCCTGGGCCGCTGGGTCCACCTGGCCTGTGTAAGACTCGGTTTTCACGTCTCTAAAATGAGGTCAATGAGTTCAGTAGGTGGTGTGTTGGACTTCCACATGACTGACCGCAGTTTGAGTCCCAGACTAGGCAGCTTGCTTTCTTGTTTGCCCTTTCTGTCTCTCTCTGGTCAAATTAAAATAAATAAATAAATAAATAAAAATAAATAGTAATACCAAATGGAATTAAATAAATAAATATTTAACAAAATAAATAAAATGAGGTCAGTGACATCTACCTTTTTGGGTTGCTGAGAAAATGAGGGATAACATTTATTAATTGCCACATGGAAGGTGATAAAATTGGTTATGGGATGTAACAAAAGAACTCAGGGCTTAGGCAAGGCAGGATTGTTCCGTTTCAGGATGTTCGGCTTGCTTGCATTAAGCAGAGTGACCCAGGGATGTTTCTGAAGGCCTGGGTGATACCCTTGTCTTCATTATAGCTGAGGCAGGGCCTCCTGCATAGATACTAAGACTAGTTCTCATTCTGCCCTTGCCAGCTCTCATTTGCTGAGAGGTACAGGCTTTCTCTCTCTCTCTCTTTTTTTTTATGCATCATTCCAGGCCTTAAGTTTCTTCAGAAGCAAAAAAGCCTCCTTGGGAGACCAGCAGTTAGCATAATGGCTATGTCACTGGACACCCATGTAGTTGACCGCAGTTCGAGTCCTGGACCCGGTAGCTTAAACTCACGCTGGGCACGTGTGTATGCGTGCCCAAGATCCCGAGAGGAGAATGGAGGAGAAGGGATTGCGGCGTGGCCATCCCCCCTGGGGGGTGATCTCTCACTTTCTGTCTCTGTCTCTCTCTGGCAAACACACATCCCCTATGGCAAAAACCTCTCAAAAAAAAAAAAAAAAAAAGCCTCCTTGGTCTGCTTATACCCTCCAACTTTATCTGCAACCACCAAAGGATGTTCAGGAACTCCTCAATACAATAACCTTTAGACACGGCCAGAGCTGGAAAGGACGAGGCAGCCATGACATACCAAGATGGCATACCAACCCAGGGTTGTGTTCACTCTACAGTGCCCACAGTGCCAGGTCTTGGTTAGTGCAAACACACGACCTCCACATATATTTCCCAAAGCACTCAGGCCAGAGCGGTGAGTCCCACCACTACAGACTCTGGGAATTCAAGCCAGAGCTCTCCCAGGACCCCAAGCTCTGGTCTGATAACTTGTGAATTTGCTGGCGGCAGAGGGCTGTTGCTTTCGAACAAGTTGATGTGAACAAAGTTCACAGGACCTGGTTGGAAGGGAGCCATGAACACAGCAGGCAAAGTGACATTTTTGCCAAATGATCCCCTTTTTGGAGTATGCTGGCATCAGTGGCCAAGCACGTTTCCTGGTGGGGCGAGAAGACCGTGCCCCTCTCAAGACAGCGGCTCCTACAGGAAAAAGTTTACTTATTTCTTCCAATGACCAAGCGACTGTTACCTCCACAGGGTCTTATACCACCATCCACCCCCAGCCTCAGCCAGCCTGGGTCACGGGCACACATGTGCTGAGTGTGTGTAGGGAGCCCCTGGGATGCAAACCAAAGACCTTCCCATGTAGGTCTGTTATGAGCAATGCACTACTGCTAAGAACCGTTTGGCCCCCACCAATCTACTTTCTTTTTTTTTTTTAATTATTTATTTTATTTTATTTATTCATTCATTTTATTATTTTTTTTTAATGTGACCAGAAAGAGAGGATGAGAGTGAGAGAGAGAGGAAGTGAGAAAGCAAGCCACCAGATTCAGGACTTGAACCCTGGTCAGCCATGTAGGCCTTAACCACCATGCCACCTGCTGGTCCCCCCACCACCAATCTACTTTCTTTCTGTAAATTTGAGTATGCTTGGGGCTGGCAGGTAGCATGGTGGTTAGGCACTGGACTCCCACACGGCTGACAGGTTCAAGTCCCAGACCTGGTGGCTTGCTTTCGTTACTTTCCTCTGTTTCTCTCTTGTCAAACTAAAAGTATTAAAATGATAAATAGTTAAGTTAAATAATTCTTTTTTCAAAAAAAATTGACTTCTCTAGTCATATCCATAGAATTACACAATATTTGTCTATGACTGCTTATTTCACTTGGGACTGTGTCCTCAAGGTTTATCCACGTAGTATGTGTCCAAATTTTCATCCTTTTTAAGGCTGAATAATATTCCACTGTCTATGCATACTGTGTTTTGTATATCTAGTCATCTACCCATGGACACTTATTGATGGGACACTTTTGGCTGCAGTGAAAATGCTACTATGAACGTGGACAAGTAGATATCTATTCAAGTCCCTCCTTTCGCTTTTTTTGTACATATACCAGACATGGAATTGGTGAATTGTAAGGTAATTCCATTTTTTTCCTTTTTTTTTTTCTTTTTGAGAAGTTTTTGCTATAGGGCATGTGCACTCGCCAGAAAGACAGAGAGAGACAGAGAGACAGAAAGCGAGAAATCACCCCCCAGGGGGGATGGCCATGCCGCAATCCCTTCTCCATTCCCCTCAGGATCTTAGTCACGCACGCACACATGCCTGGCGTGAGTTTTAAGCCACCAGGTCCAGGACTCGAACCATGGTTGGCTACATGGGAGTTCAATGACATAGCCATTACACTAACTGCTGGTCTCGGTAATTCCATTTAAAAATATATATATATATTTATTGGGATCAGCAGA